AAATGGTGATATTATTTCAGCCTGTGACCAGATAATATCGGTCAAAGGTAAGACTAGGGAATCAGACAACCCCAAAACTGACTCTTCCCATCCCCACTCCATGCGTGATGACAAAACCAGGTCTTCAGTTTTTTTCTGAAGTCTAAGAGGGAGGGGGCCAACCTCACTTCTGGGGGAAGGGTGTTCCAAAGGGCAGGGGCTGCTACAAAGAATGCAATTCATACATTTTTAGAACACATGCTGGTTCTAAAAATGTATGAATTGCAATAGGTGATTCTGGCAATAAACTTATGCCTTATTGTATGCTTGCTTCATTCTAGTGGTCAGCTCTGTGAGATCCCGCCTCATGGCTCCTTTCAGTCCAGTCCCTGTGAGAGGGTAGAGTGCCAGAATGGTGCCAACTGTGTGGAGTTAGGTAATCGTGCCTTATGCCAGTGCCTTCCTGGCTTTGGAGGACTCAAATGTGAGAAGCTACTGAGTGTCAATTTTGTGGATAGGGACACATACCTACAATTCACGGATTTGCAGAATTGGCCCAGTGCCAACATTACTCTGCAGGTAAAAGGGATTTAAGTTTCCATTCCAAATTTCCAAGAAGAAGCATTGTCTACTTTCCTGTATAGAATTGGTTTTCCTGTTATTTTTTCCCACTCTCTTGTTCTCTGTAGGTCTCCACAGCCGAAGACAATGGGATTCTCTTGTATAATGGGGATACTGACCACATGGCAGTGGAGCTTTATCAAGGCCATGTGCGTGTCAGCTATGATCCAGGCACTTACCCTAGCTCGGCTCTTTACAGGTAGCCCTTTACCCTTGATTTCTCATTCAATCAAAGGACAGTACTGTAGAATTTGAGCAAATTTGTCTGCGTGGCCCCGCAATCTGCACACTGGCCTTTGTGGGGTGAGAGAGAGATGCTAAGGTTTATATCAGGCTCCAGCAACTTGGGCTGAGAGTTAATGTAGAAAGTAGAGAGTGATCTTTAAAGAGAGCACAGGGCAAGACTGACAAGCAGTGCTGAACAAGTGTCATATGGGCAAGATTGACTATGGGTATTAGAAATCAGGAGAGGGGTGTATACAAGAATCTTTCTCATCCCATTTCTCTCTTTTCTCCTAGTGCAGAGACCATCAATGATGGACAGTTCCATACAGTGGAACTGGTGACATTTGAGCGGATGGTAAACTTATCCATCGATGGAGGTGATCCCATGACCATGGATAGCTTTGGCAAGGCCCACACATTGAATTCTGAGGCTCCACTCTATGTGGGGGGTAGGACTGCAATCTCTGTTGGGGAAGAGGGAAGCAATGTCCTGCTGAAACCGGAGAGAGAATCAGTTATTTCCAACACTCCCACACTTTTACCAGAGGCTACCATGTGGACTAGGAGGTTCTAGTAATGCTTAGTTTGGACCATTTGTATAATATCAATTAGGAAGGA